TTGGATTTATCCCAGGAATGCAAGGATTCTTCAGTATACACAAATCAATATGATAAACCATATTAACAAATTGAAACATACAAACTATATGATAATCTCAATAGATGCAGGAAAAGCCTCTGATAAAATTCAGCACCTATTTATGATTTTAAAAAAAAAAACTTTTTCAAAAATGGGCATAGGAGGAACCTACCTCAACATATCTAGGCCATATAAGATAAACCCACAGCAAACCTTATTCTCAATGGTGAAAAACTGAAAGCATTCCCTCTAAGATCAGGAACAAGACAAGGGTGCCCACTCTCATCACTATTATACAACATAGTTTTGCAAGTCCTAGCTATGGCAATCAGAGAAGAAGAAGAAATAAAAGGAATCCAGATTGGAAAAGAAGTCACTCTCTCACTGTTTGCAGATGACATGATACTATACATAGAAAACCCTGAAGATACTATCAGAAAATTACTAGAGCTAATCAGTGAATTTAGCAAAGTAGTGGGATACAAAATCAATACACAGAAAATACTAACAGTGAAAAATGAGAAAGAGAAATTAAAGAATCAATCCCATTCATGATTGCAACAAAAAGAATAAAATATCTAGCAAGAAACCTACCTGAGGAGACAAAATAACTGTATACAGAAAATTATAAGACACTGAAGAAAGAAATCAAAGATGACGTAAACAGATGGAGAGCTATCCCATGCTCCTGGGTTGGAAGAATCAATATTGGGAAAATGACTATACTACAAAATGCAATCTACAAATTCAATGCAATACCTAAAAAATTACCAACAGCATTTTTCACAGAGCTAGAACAATTTTTACTAAGAGTCAAATAAGGTCTTTATTGGTGGTTTAGTTGCTAAGTTGTGTCCAACCCTTGCAACCCCATGGACTGTTGTCTGCCAGGTTCCTCTGTCCATGGGATTTTCCAGACAAAAATACTGGAGTGAGTTGCCATTTCCTTCTCCATGGCATCTTCCTGACCTGGGGATTGAACCCCAGTCTCCTGCACTGCAGGCAGATTCTTTACTGACTGAGCTACTAGGAAGGTCTTGAACTAGAATAAAGAATTTCACAATGCATATGGAAACAGAAAAGACCCCAAATAGACAAAGCAGTTTTGAGAAAGAAGAATGGAGCTGGAGGAATCAACCTTCCTGACTTCAGACTGTACTACAAAGCTACAATAATCAAAACAGTATAATAATGGCACAAAAACAGACATATAGACCAATGGACCAAGATAGAGCCCAGAGATGAAACCATGCACCTATGGGTACCTTATTTTTGACAAAGGATGCAAGAATATACAATGGGGCAAAGATAGCCTCTTCAATAAGTGTTCAATAGGAAAACTGGAGAGCTATGTATAAACCAATGAAATTAGAATACTCCTAACACCTGACACAAAGATAAACTCAAACTGGATTAAAGATTAAATGTAAGACCAGAAACTATAAAACTCTTTGAGAACATAGGCAGAACATTAGATGACATAAGTCAAAGCAAGATCCTCCATGACAAACCTCTTAAAGTAATGAAAATAAAAACAAAAATAAACAAGTGACACCTAGTTAAACTTAAAAGCTTTTACACAGCAAAGGAAACTATAAACCAGGTGAAAAGACAACCCTCAGAATGGGAGAAAATAGTACGAAAAAAACTGAAATGAAATAACTGACAAAGGATTAATTTCCAAAATACACAAGCAGCTCATACCAGTCAATACTAGAAAAACACACAACCCAATCAAAAAGTAGGGGGAAAGACCTAAACAGCCATTTCTATAAAGAAGACACACAGATGGCTAACAAACATGAAAAGATGCTCAACATCATTCATTATTCAATTCAGTTCATTTGCTCAGTCGTGTTCGACTCTTTACGACCCCATGAATCACAGCACGCCTGGCCTCCCTGTCCATCACCAACTCCTGGAGTTTACTCAAACTCATATCCATCGAGTTGGTGATGCCATCCAGTCACCTCATCCTCTGTCGTCCCCTTCTTCTCCTGCCCCCAATCCTTCCCAGCATCAGGGTCTTTTCCAGTGTGTTATTAGAGAAACACAAATAAAAACTACAACTAAAAAAAAAAAAAAAAAACTACAACTGCCTCACACCAGTCATAATGGCCATCATCGAAAAGTCTATAAATGATAAATGCTGGAGAGAGCGTGGAGAAAAGGGAATCCTCTTCCACTGTTGGTGGGAATGTAAATTGATACAGCCACTTTGGAAATTGTGAGATTCATTAAAAAACTAGGAATAAAACCACCATATGACACAGCAATCCCACTACTTGGCATATACCCTGAGGAAGACAAAACTGAAAAAGACACATGTACCCCAATGTTCACTGTAGCACTATTTACAATAGCTAGAACATGGAAGCAACTTAGATGTCCATCCACAGGTGAATGGATTAAGAAGCTGTGGTATATATATACAATGGAATATTAGTCATAAAAAGGAATGCATTTGAGTCAGTTTTAATGAGATGATGAACCTGGAGCCTATTATACAGAGTGAAGTAAGTCAGAAATAGAAAGATAGATATCATATACTAACACATATATATGGAATCTAGAAAGATTGTACTGATAAATTTATTTGCAGGGCAACCATGGAGACTCAGACATAGAAAATAGACTTATGGACATGAGGGCAGTGCAGGGGGAGGAAAGAAAGGGTAAGATTTATATAGAGAGTAACACATAAACTTACATTGCTCTTTGTAAAATAGATAACCAATGGGAATTTTCTGTGCGACTCAGGGGACTCAAATACAGGCTCTGTAACAACCTAGAGGGGTAGGGTGGGGAGGGAGATTTAAGAGGGAGGGAACATATGTATACCCATGGCTGATTCATGTTGATATTCAGCAGAAAAAAAAAAAAATCTGTATTATCTTTCTATTAAAAGTAATAAGTTTTTTAAAAAGAAACTTACTTGAAAAACTCTTGGCTTGCATTTCTTCTATTCAGTTCAACAAGTTCCTTATCTAACATTTGAGTTTTTTTAAAAAAAACAGACTTCTTAAGGAGGCAACTCCTTCTTAAGAGATCATCTCAGGGTACATTTTCACTTAACCAGGTTAGTTGTAGGTATAATAATAACTAATCACAAAACACTTTGTTCAAACAAGTGTTCACACGGAAGTATCCATTGGGTCCTGTGTGTGTCTCTGAACTCTCAGGAACATGCTGTGTGTGAACCTGTAAATCACAGCCTGTGGCAAAACTGCATATTCTGCCCATGAAGGCTAGGTAATTTTAGACTCAAACTTACTTGGTTTGCTTTTCTTTTATTCAGTTCAACAACTTCCTTATCTAATCCTTGAGGTTTTTGAAAGAAACAAGCTTCTTGAAACTCCTTGTTAGGTTGTCTCAGAATATATTTTCACCTAACCAGGGTGGTTATTGGTATAGTACTAACTATCATAGAACTCACTGCTCAAACAAGTGTTCTCATAGAAGAATCCAGTGAGTCCTGTTTGTGTCCCTACAGTCTTTAGAAACATACTGTGTATGAACCTGGAAATCTTAGTCTGTCGGTAAAACTTTATTTTCTGCCTCTGAAAGCTAGGTAGTTTTAGACTCAAAGTTACTTCATAAGCACTTTGGTTGTTGTGTTTTATTCAGTTCAACAACTTCCTGAGTATGACCCTTGAGTTTTCTGAAAGAAACAGGTTGCTTGCAACTCCTGGTTAGGAGGTCATCTTACACTACAATCTCATCTAACCAGGATAGTGAGATGTATGGCACTCATCACTCATCACTCACAGAACACTCTGTGGAAACAAGTATTCTTATGGATGGGTCCAGTGTGTCTTATGTGGACCTTTACACTGCTTGGAACTTGAAGGAATACATTCTGTGTGTGGGAATTGGGGCTTGCCGGCAAAAGCAGTACTTTTCTCCTGTGAAAGTTAGATAGCTGAGGCCTAAAAGCTGCCTGAAAAACACTCTGGTTTCTTTTCTTCTATTCATTGCAGTGACATCTTTAGTCAAATGATAATTTTTCCTAAAGAAACAGGCTGTTTTCAACTCCTTGCCAGGAGGTCTCACAGTAGTTTTGTCTAACCAGGGCAATAGTAGGTATAACATTCACCACTCACAGAATGCTCTGCAAAAATAAGTTTTCTTATAGAAAGATCCAGTGTATCTTTGGTGTGTCTTTCCACTGCTGTGAAAATGCAGGGAAATATGCTATTTGTGAACCTGAGTGTGGCAGGTTGGATATTGGTGACGGGGTAGACATTTTCCAGGTGTATTGCAATGAGGGTAGTAGGTGTGTAGAAGGGTATACTGGGTGAGGAAGATAGGGACTGTTAGGGAAAAGCAGGTAGGCATGAGGTGAGGCAAGTTGGATGAGGTGGGTAGGTGTGTAGTGTGGTGGTTTGGGGCGAAGAGAGTGAGAGGGCAACAGGCAGGAAGGCCAGGGGTCTCCAGATGGAGAAAATAGGCTGCAAGTGTCAGACATTTTTTCTCTCTCTCTCAAGCGACAGGAGGAAACAAACTAGTGAGATATACAGATATAGATATAGATATAGATATAGATATTTCCCCTTTTCTGTACAAATTTAAAAGGAGGTTTCTCTTATAATACTGTGTTGCCATAATGACACCTGGTTCCACCTGAAGTTAGCTATTCTCAAACCTTGAGTTAGCCAATGTATTTTTCTTATGAAAATGTTTGTCTTAAGCTATGCTAATATACTATGCATTTACCCCAGACTCTGTCTTCAAGTCGGTTCAGCCTAATGGTTCAGAACTGACTTGACAAACCATTATGTTATATTCAAATATTGTTCCCCTAATCTATGTAAACGAAACTATTTGTATGGTCATCTGCCCTTCTACAAGATTCAAGTCAATCGTTTCATGGCCCCGGAATGATTAGTCTGGTGCCAAGATTATCCCAAAATACATCTTATGGATGAGGGGCCTGGTGCCATTCTGAATTTTAAGACATTCCTTTCTTTCATTAACAGACTGTCAATACTTTTGCCTGGAAAATACCATGGACGGAGGAGCCTGGTAGGCTGCAGTCCATGGCGTCGCTAAGAGTTGGACACGACTGAGCGACTTCACTTTCACTTTTCACTTTCATGCACTGGAGAAGGACATGGCAACCCACTCCAGTGTTCTTGCCTGGAGAATCCCAGCGCCGGGGGAGCCTGGTGGGCTGCCGTCTACGGGGTCGCACAGAGTCGGCCATGACTGAAGCGACTCAGCAGCAGTGACTGTATAACATCCAGCTAAAAACTAGCAGGGGGGTGCTCTTTCTGCCCCCTCTGATGCCTATGTCAGAGGCTTTCTCTATCTCCTTTATACTTTAATAAAACTTTATTACACAAAAACTCTGCGCAATCAAGCCTCCTCTCTGGCCCTAGGTTGAATTCTTCTCCTCCGGAGGCCAAGAATCCTGGCGTCCTTTGGTGGATCAACAACAACTTTTCAAGAGCAGCTGTGAGGTGGTATGGGCTGGGGTGAGAAGGATGGCATGTTGTGGTTGTTGTGGTAATATGGGTAGGGGTGTGATGTGGCCAGTTGTGGCAAGGCAGCTAGGCAAGCACAGGTTAGGTTGAGGCAGGCAGGTTTGTGTCATTGAAGAACAGGTAAGGCATGGTGAGTGTGTATGATAAGGGTGGGTTGGATCAAGGCTGCTAGGCCTCCAGAGTATCAGTGTGGGCTGAAGCAGGTAAGCATATTGTTGGATGGGTTGTGGAGAGGCAGATAGGAGTGTGATGGTGTGATTTGGGCAAGGGAGGTAGGTGTGAGGAGGTGTGAGTTCATGAGATATGAGTGGGCATGTTGTGGGGTGTTGTGTAGAGTTGTGTTGGCATGTGACACTGTGGGATGGAAAAAGTTGGGAGGGGTGTGGCAAGGCAAGTTGGGGTGACAGGTTTAAGCTTGTGGCAGGGTGGACTGGGGTGTCAGGGGTAGGTATTTGTGGGACAGGTTTGGGTGATGTGGGTAGGCATGTAACAAGGTAGAGTGGCAGAAGGAATACAGGCATAACAGGGCAGCTAGAGGGAAGATGGGTAGGCCTGTCAAGGGGCATGTTGGGATTAGGCAGGTTAACATGTGTTGGGGAAGGTTAGGCTGACTAGTGTATGTGTGTGGTGAGGCGGGTTAAGGATAGGCAGGTAGGCATATAGCAGAACAGCTTGGGGCAAGTTAAGTATGCACGTGGCTGGGCCAGTTCAGGCAAGGAAGGTAGGCATGTTATGTGGTGGTTTGGTGTGTGGTGGGTAGATGTGTGACAGAAAGGATTGAGATAGAGTGGGTAGCCATGTGGTGGAGGGGTTTGGGGAGGTGGGTAGGCATGAGGAGGTGCAGGTTTGGAAAGGTAGGTTGGTGTGTGGCAGGGTAGGTTACGGTGGCGGGTGTAAGCATGTGGCAGGATGTGTTAAGGAGAGATGGCGTGTAAAGTGGGCATTTGCTGAGCAGGTTGGTGCCTGGTGAGTAGATATGTGGTGGGACAGTTCAGGATGATGCATATAGGCATGTTGCAGGGCAAGGCGCGATGTGGTAGGTTTGTAGCAGGCTGCATTGAAATTAGGCCGGTAGGCATGTAGAGGAACATGCTGGAGCAACTCGTGTATGTGCGTTTCGGGGCAACTTGGGGTAAAGCATTTAGGCATGGGGCAGGACTGCTCGGGGTGAGGGGTTAGGCACGTGGCAGAGCAGGTTAAAGTGTGGTGATAAGCATGTTGAAGGACAGGTTGGGATGAAGCCTGCCTAAGTGTCTGGCATGCCAGTTTGGGGTAAGGCAGGTAGGCAAGTGGCTGGGTAGTTAGGGATGACAGGTTAAGCATGTGGCAGGGCAGATTGGGTGGTGGGGTGGCCATTTGTCAGACGGGTTGGATAAGGTGGGTGGGCATGTGAAAAGGCAGGTTTGGGCACCACATGGAGGTGTATTGTGGGGCAGGTTAAGGATAGACAGTAAACATGTGGTGGGGTGGGGTAGGGCCAATTGATAGGCATGTGACATGGTGGGTTTGGAAACAGGAGTAGGCATGTGGTGGGGCAAGTTAGAGTGAGGCGGCAGTAGGCAAGTGACTGAGCAGGTTTCAGTGAATCTGGCAGATGTTTGGCATTGCAGATTGGGGTGGCATGTGTAGTTTTGTGGGAGGAAGCTATGGCAAGGCACGTTTTCATGTGAAGTTGGCTGGGGCAAGGCATGTAGGCCTCTGGTCGGGTTCATTGAAGTGAGGCAGCTAGGAGTATGGAGAGCCCAGTTGGGGTGAGGTGGTTATGTATGCAGGAGACGGTTGGAGTGAGGCGGACTGGCATGTCATGAGGCAGGTTGGGATAAGGATGATCAACATGCAGAGAGGCAGGTGGGTATGAGGTGGGTAGGTTTGCGGCAGGGCGGGTTGAGGTGAGGGTAGGTACGAGTCAGAGCAAGTTGGCAAGAGGTGGTTAGGCATGTTAGATGGGAGATTTGGAATGAATAGGGTAGGAGTTTGGTGCAGCTGACTGGGATAAATGTGTTGGTGAAGGCTGGATGGGTTCAGCAAGGCAGGTAGGCATGTGGTGAGGTGGTTTGGTGCAAGGCAGGGTGGCTAGGTGTATGGAGGGTTTGATGGATAAAACAGGTGGGTCTGTGAAGGGATGGCAGGTCGGTTTGTGGTGGGGTGGACTGTGGCAAGGAAGGTAGGGGTGTAAGCACAGGTTGGGGAGGAGAGAGTAAGCATGTGGCAGGGCACGTCGGGGCAGAGTGTGCGTGTGAGATGAGACGTGTTGGCTGAAGCAGGTAGGCATGTCGAAGGTTAAGTCCATGTGAGGTGGGTAGGCTTGTTGTGGGGTATGTTGGGGTGAGTTGTGTTGCCCTGTGACAAGGTGAGGTGTGAGGCTGGTCTGATGTGGCAAGGTGGGTTGGGTTGAGTTGGGTAGGCGTGTGGCAGTACAGGTTGCAGCAAGGTGGGTAAACATGCGTCAGACTGGTTTGACAATAAGAGGATAGGTGTATGGCAGAGTTTTATGGTGAATAGGGTAGGGCATTTGGCACTGTAGATTGGGCAAAATGGGTAAGCGTTGGCTGGACAGGTTCAGCGAGGCAGGCAAGCATGTGTCAGGGTGGGTTGGGGCAATGCAGGTAGGCGTTTGGAGGGAAAATTGGTGTGGGGTGGGTAGGCATAGGCTGGGCAGTTTAGGGTGGTGGGGGTAGGTGTGTGGTGGGGCTGGTTAAGGTGATGCAGGTATGCACGCGGTGGGGCAGGTTGTAGTGAAGTGGGTAGACAAGTGGTGGAGCATATTGAGGTGGTGGAGGCTGGTGTGTTTCTGAGCACATTGGGACAAGGCTCTTAGACCTGTGTCAAAATGAGTTGAGATGTGGCCACCTGGCTTGTGGCAGTGCAGCATACGGCAGAGCAAGTGGGCATGTGGAGTGACAGATTCAGGTGAGGTGGTTAGGTTCTGGTTGGGCAGGTTGGGGTGAGGCAGGAAGGCCTGTGACAAGGGTGGGTTAGGGTGAGGTGGGTTGGAGTGTTACCAGGTGGGTTGGTAGGATGCATGTAGGTGAGGTATGTTGTGGTGAGGTGGGTAGGCAAGTGGCGGGGCTGGTAGGGGTGACAAGGATAAGCATGTGGCAGGGCACAGTGAGGTAACAGGGATAGGCACTTGTCAGGTGAGGTGGGGCCAGGCAGTTGGGCAAGTGGAGGGTCAGGATAGGGTGTCATGTGTAGGTGGGGGAGGGTGGTAGGCAAGGGGTGAGACAGGTTTGGGCAAGGCACATAGGTGTGTGGTGGGACAAGTTGAGGCAAGGAGGTAGGCGTGTGGCATTGCAGGTTGGGGTGTCAGTGTGTTTCAGAGGGTTAAGGCAAGGCGGGTTTTTGTTTTTCAGTGTGGGCTGAGATAAAGCAAGTAGGCCTATGGTGGGGTCTGTTGGAATGAGTCAGTTATGCATGTGGCAAGGCCAGCTGGGGCTAGGTGGCTATGCACCTAGGGGATCTGTTGGGGTGAGGTGGGTAGGCATGTGGCAAGGCATGTTAAGGTGAGATGTGTGGGCTTATTACCAGGTGGGTTGGCAGGAGGCACATAGCTGTGTGGCGGGGCATGTTGGCGTGAGGTGGGTAGGCTTGTGGTATGGCTATTTGGTACAAGGTGGGGTGTGTGCTGTGGGGGGTTGGGGAGAGGTGGTCAGGCGTGTAATTGGGTGTGATGGGCAAAAGGGGTAGGCACATGGCGGGGTAAGTCAGGGCAAGGGGGATAGGCCTTTGGCGGGGCAGGTTGGCATGAAGTGGGCAGGCAAGTTTAAGTGCAGGTTTTAAGAAGGAAGTTGGCATATGGAGGGATGGATTTTCATGTGGCAGTGTGGATTGTGGCCTGTGGTGGGGTCCTTTGGAGTGGGTCAGCTAGGCATGTGGCAGAGTCAGTTGTGTTGGGTTGGCTATGCATCTTGGGGGTGGGTTCAGGTGAGGTTTCTCAAGGTGTGGTGAGGCAGGTTGGGACGAGGTGAGTAGGTATGTTGCAGAGTGGGCTGGGGCAAGGCGGGTAGTCCTGGGTCAGAGTGGATTTTGAGACATGAGTAGGCCTGTGGAGGGGAGGTTTGGGGTGAATGGAGTAGGCTTTCGGCACAGGAGGATGGGTTGATGCAGATTGGCGTTGGTTGGACAGGTACAGTGAGGCAATAGGCATGTTGCTGGTGGGTTGGGGTGAGGTGGGTAGGTGTTCGGACGGGTGAATTTGTGTAAGGTATGTAAGTGTAGGCTGGGCAACTTGGGGTGGTAAGGGAAGGTGTGGGGTGAGGTGGGTTAGGTAAAGGTATGTAGGCATATGGTGGGGGTTAGTATGAGGCAGTAGGTGACTGGTGGGGCAGGTTGGGGAGAGGGTGGTAGGCTTTTGGCAGGGTAGACTGAGGCTAAACCACTAGGCTTGTGGTGGCGTGTGGTTTGGCGGAATGTGTAAGAATGTGGAGGGTTGGGTTCAGGCAAGTTGGGTAGGCATATTGTGGGGCAGGACAGGACTAAGTGGGTAGGCATTTGTCTGGGCAGGTAGGCATGTGACTGGTAGGCCTGTGATGGAGTGGATCAGGGCAGGGCATGTAGGCATCTTTC